CCCATAAAAGGGTCAGGTGAGGTTTTGGCAGCGCAGAGCTGCCTTGACCCAACACACATTAACTACTGTGCATTGATGCAACAGACAAGTGTGAACCTGGCTGCCACTGCAACAAGTGTCCTCATTAAAAGACTTTCCCTCTATGACTGTTCTTGTGACCGCTCATAGGTCAGATTTTTCCATCTCTTTCAGTCCCAGGGACAATGGTCAGCAGGACAATTTGAGAACCTCAATTTCCCCAGTGGAGACGCAGATAGCAAAAAAAAAAGCTGACAAGTTGGCTGTCCTTTCTGTAATCTATCAAAAACTAAAAAAAACAACCCGATATTGATTTTTAGATCAGCTCTGGTCAACCATGAACATTTGCTTGTCAACTGATGGGAATGTGGCTAACTTGCTGAGTGGTTCCAGTTTTCACCTTGGCATTCTTTTTCTTCTAGCTGGATTCCTTTAAATTTCTATACAGTTATTTTCTGAAAATGCAGGCCAGTGGGTGTTCATGGGTGTAAGCACCACCCATTCTCAGTACCCATTAAGGAAGAACTCCAGTAGCACTACACTACATTTAAATTGCCTACATAAATCTGATTTTTTATTTCATTTCAGTCTCATTGACACAACTTGCAGCATCTTGTGACCAGGGGTTTAAAAAGCCTGCTAAATCTAGCTCAAAGTTAGAAATGTATATTTTTTGTATAATTCTGTAACTACAGTACTATTCAAGTTTCAGGTGATCATGTTTTAATGCTATACATCTATTTGGAACAGTATACTAGAGACAGTTGATATTAGGGATGGGGCTTAATACTTTATACAACCTAACATTTAGTAGAACCCTTAGGTATGTTCCCCTTTTAGACCAATAGCATTGTTTTCCAGACCTGAGAGTATCCCTAGTGACACCAGGAGTATTTTTCCCTAACATGTAAGAAATACAACCTGTGAAAGAACTCTGGACAAAAAGTCAGCACTATATACGGTGAATGGTACAATAACACCCAAAAAAAATAGAATCTATATAAAAAGCATCAGGCTTTGCAAAGAAGTTCTAGCAATCATTCAGCAGCATTGGTATCTCTACTGCTGCTGTAACTAACATAAACATGTTCTGAATCAGGAGTAGCCAAACTATGGCCCACCAACTGCTGTGGAACTACAAGCCTCTTAAAGGCATTGCAACACTCTGTCAGCCACAATCATGACTTTCAGAGGCAGATACACAATGGGATTTGTAGCTTTATCACAGCTGAAGGGCTGAAATTTGGCTAACCCTGTTCTAAATTAAAGGCCAAACTCCACTAAAGTGAATGTCAGCTTGTGATGGATGGCAGTGAAAGGGATCATCCACAGTCATTACAAAGCTGTATGAGGAGGTTACATTTAAAAAACATAAAATGCACTTAAAAATGGGGGATCTAGTTTTAAAAATGTGACACCTTTATAGTGATATTAGGATGGATTGGAATTCAGAACTCGAGTGTGTACAGAAGTCAAACATGGTGTTATGCATTTTTTTTAACAGAGGAGATTAGTGCCAAGCATTTACCAAGGTCCATAGCTGTTTATTGTTCATTGAGCAATTCTAAGGTAAGCTTCCACATTAAGCAGTGTAAATTTCCAAACTTCATTCAATGCTAAATTTTCATTGTTTTACCTTTTAACACATAGCACAAAGAGATCATTATCGAAGGGAAAATGAAAATGCTGAATTCCAGTAAACAAAGAAGGGTGTTACGCAATGAAATGCCTGTGCTAGTTTCTTCTGTAAACAACCTCTCTCTGCCTATCAATCACTTAAAGCTCCTATCTTGATTTATTTCACAATCCCAGAATGTATTTCTCAACAGCGTTTCACTGGAATTGTTAAAATGAAAACAGCAGTTTAACTTTCTAACATCTACCAGATATTATATATATAAAAATATATATTCTGTAGATACAGTCACTGTTTGGGTGTTTTGACAGCTGTGGGTTCCAGATGTCAGAACACAATAGCCAGCAGGGAGGTGCCCCCATCCATGCTGTTGGCATGGAAATCAAGCACTCAATTCTCATTTACGATTTACCAGCGACACCAATCAGCTACAGTCATTGTTCGCGCATTCTGACAGCAGTGGATGCTAGCCGCAGAATACCACAGCCAGGGACAGAAAACAGAAGAGCACCAGACCAAAACAAATATTAGAGTGCATAAAAAGTTTAATGATTGTGTTGATCAAACATCCAATGCATTTCAGGGACAGACACATCCCCTTCCTCAGGGCTTGGAGAGGATGAGAATGAAGGATAGGACTAAAAAAAAGATCAGAATTGACATCTTTTTGCAGCTATTGGTAGGTAGATTTCCCAAATGTGTGGATTGCAGGCAGTGATTGGAGTCCCCAACCACTGCCTGCAAACGATACATTTTGGGAAAACTAACCATAGCCACAATAAGATCTAAATTCTTGTTTACTCAATCCCTTTATTCTTATAATATTGTCATAAGGCCCTGACACACACTGGCTGTTTAACCAACACATCAATTAAACATTTTGTTGGACTCTAACATCCGTTTTGGTCTGGTGCTCTTCTGTTTTCCGTCTCTGAGTAGCTCCCAATACCTCCTTTCAGTAACTGTGCATATTTGAGTTGCCTAACCATAAGCTAATCAGCCACCTACAAATCAAGTTGAGTCTTGATTTGGAAGGAGTCCCAATTTGGGACTCCTTCCAGCGTCCCTGAAAGATTCTCATGATTTGAAGAATTCAATAACCACCAAAGGAGGTTCCACCATGCACGCATTTTAACATTGATGGGGGAATCCAGTGTGTCAGCTCAGTGAGAAAAAAACGCTGATTGTATGGCCAGTTTAAAGTGACACTAAAGTCAGAAGTGAAATCCTAAAAATGCATTCCAGTATCTTAACTACAAATGTATCTTATTTGTGTATCACTCGGCTGTAGATCCTCAAATCATCTCTGAATTGGTGCTGACGCTGTCCTTCCTTCTGGAGGGTGGCTACTTTTGTTCCCCATGGTCCCTGTGTGTTGTAAAGTAGTCACCACTCCAAGCTCACTGTGATGGACTACAATCTCGCATTTAGTTTACTAATTTGTATCGAGATTGTAGTCCTTAACCCCTTCGTGACTGGCCATGTACACTGTACGTGATGAGTTATATCAGGCTTTGTAATGCTGGTAACAGATGATTCTCAGCAGTTACCAGTCATTAATGAATGCCTCAGTACTGAGGCATTCATTAATGAAATAATGAAGCTTTTTGTAAATGCTTCTTCCTGTCATTAATGAAAGAATGAAGCCCTTACATGCAAATACAGGACTGCAATTTGCGATCCTGTATTTGACAGCTGAAAATAGCAGAGAGGTAGCAGTGACTCATCTCTCTGCTATTTGTTTTGACAGCTCGATAGCCCGATGTTTAGATACATTTCACTCAAAAGATACAATGTATATCTTTTGAGTGAAATGTATCAGTTCTGATCGTCTAGGCGCGATCAAAGAGCTTTTAGTGAGATCTGAATCTGACTAAAGACAGGATCAGTCTCTAAGGTTATTATTAGCTGTTCCTAAGTTTGGAACAGCCTAATGGCCAAAAATTAAAAAAAAGTTAATTTATCAACCAATCATAGTGACTGCTTGATATAAACTGACAAGAAAAAAGAAAGTTTTTTTTTTTACAACGTGTAAAAATGTTTTTAATAAAGTGTAAAACAAAATTAGGAAAATAAAAATTATATATAAATATATTTTTTATACTATAATTAATATAAAAAAATTCTAATAATAATAATAATAATCAAAACATGTGAAAAAAGTGTTTTCTTCTAGTTTTTTCCCCTCATTTTTTTTATTTTATTCAAACTAAGTGAGGGGTTAGGTACACATATGTGATATAATTATATAGCCCTATCTGTCCTCTAAAAAAACAATATATAATATGTGTGGGTACATTTAGTAAGAAAGTATATTACTGCTGTGGAAGAATCACACAGCAAAAATGTAAAAAGTGTGCCAGTCATTTATGAACAGAAACTGAAAACTAGCTCAGTCATGAAGGGGTTAGTGGGAGCAAGCTTGGAGTGGTGGCTACTTTACAAAACTGGGACCATGGGGAACAAAAGTAGCCACCCTCCAGGCCCATTCACACCACATCCAGATTACCTCCAGACCAGACTGTTTCCGGACCAAAATGCATCCCAATGTATCCCTATGCTATTTCTGGCTTCTGTTCCCACCAGTGCAGTCCGTTCCAGACTATACCAGAAAAATACTGCTTGTCCTATTTTGTCTGGTCTGGAATGCATCAAAATGCATCAAAAACGCATGGAACACACCTATAAGACCATTTTAAGCTAAAAAATAAATAAATAAAGCAGATTTCCAATCGCAAAATCGTGGCAAAAACGCAGTGCACTATGTTCCAGATCAGGTCCGGAAAATGGTGTGAACTCAGCCTCCAGAAGGAAGGACAGTGGCGGCACCAATTCAGAGATGATTTGAGAATCTACAGCCGAGTGATACACAAATAAGATACATTTCTCTTAATAGTTCAGATACTTGAATGCATTTTTAGGATTTAACTCCTGAATTTAGTGTCACCTTAAGGTGAAGCTATGTCCTATTTGAATACCCAATGATGTGCAAAGGAAATGAGGAAAAGCGGAATTTTGCTTGTATATGTTTGGGTGATTGAAGTGAACACATTTAGTAATCAATTACAATAATTAGAGAATAAAGGAAATTACTTAAGTAATTACTTACTTAAAGGAAATATGAAATTCACTGATTACCTCCTCTTCGCAGTTTTCTAACATACAACACACTTAAATAACAGCATGCTTGTGGTGCTTTGACCACAGAAAATGCTTCCATCAAAATATACAGTATACACAATATTAAGAATTTTTTTGTTTTCTCAATAAACTGATTTATTAGTCATCATCCGCTGTAACTAAAGCGTTATGACATAGTAATCAGTGTAATATAAACTGTACTTACCGTTGCAATACAGACACAGCATAGGCTTAGAAGAAACCATACTAAGCTTGACGTCTTCATGGTGATGACTCCTCCAAGGTTCTGAACACTTTTCAACACAAAGCCTCAATTTCTAGAGAATTTAGGCAGAATCGGCTATCAATCTTTAACTACTAATCCAACAAGTTTAAAAAGGTTTGTTTGTACAATTGCTGTGCATATGCAACCTGGAATCTGAACTCAATAGTTGTACAATGCCAATTCAGCCATGGTGATTCTAATGCTAATCCAGTTAACAATAGGCTGGTACAAAGACAGTAGTGTGCTTTTAATCAGTCAGCAAGTTTTCCAAACATTTATTTCCTTTTAACTGAGGTAGCATTGCACCATCAAGTGTTTAACCACTTAAAGACCAGGTGTTTACGCCCACTCCCTGGCCAGGCCATTTTTCAGTATTCAGCGCTGCGGTACTTTAACTGACATTTATTCCATCATGCAACGCTGTACTGAAATGAATGTCATACCATTTTTTGGGGACAGACATAGCTTTCTTTTAGTAGTATTTAATCACCACTGTGGTTTTATTTTTTACTATATTAAGTAAAAATGTATTGAAAATTTAGACAAAAAAAGTTTTCTTTACATTTATGTTATAATACATTTATTATTAGCCGATTTTTTTGTAAAATATAAAAGACAGGGTCACGTCAGGTATATAGACACCAAACATGTCAAGCCTTAAAATTGCGCCCACAAAATCGCAGCAAACGACCACACCCAAAATTTACCATAGTCAACGCTTTAAAAGCTTTTACCGTTTATCAGTTTAGTGTTATCAGTGATTGATGGCCGTAGGAATTATTGCTCTCACTCCGGCATTCGCAGTGATATGTAACATGTGCGGCGTAATGAGCGCAATCGTCGTTTTTGCAGGTATGCACACCCGACGCATGTTTGCACGCATGTATAGCGGATATGAAGAAGTCACTCGCACTCCAGCCCAAGTTCAGCCAATATTTGATTGACCTCTGTGGTGTCACAACATGGCGATGTTTCGGAATCCATTTGGTCCCTTCATCAGGAAAATAAATACTCTTTGTTCATGTCGCTTGGCACCCACCCGATACTTCGGCACCCACCCGATGGTCGCCTGGCACCCACCACACCTGACCGATAAGGCCCCGTTCCCACTGCACGATATGCAAATCGCGCGTTTGTCGCGCGATTTGCATATTGCGCGATATCGCGAGATTTGCCGCGCGATATCGCGTTCAAGCTTGCATTGAGCAAGCTTGAATCGCGGCTAAATCCGCTCCAAAAAGGGTCCTGCTGTAGCGACACACGACCCGCGACAGCAGGACCCTTTGCCCCATTGACATGCATTGGAGCGCGATATCGCGCGGTAATTTGCAGCGATATCGCGGGAATTACTGCGCGATAAATCGCTCAATGTGAACGGGGCTTAAGGGGATTATTCGGTCAGGTGTGCAATGGGTTTCTTTTGATTATTGAACTGGGGGTTGGGACTTTAATTGTGTTTTTTTAAATTCTATTTCATGTGTGGCATTCATTTTTTTTGCAACTTACATTTTTATTTTACTTTTTTTTTCTCCACTTAACGTTATTGTTATCACATAGGGGGATAAGAAGCCCCCCTATGTGATAGCAAAGAGGATGTGACAGGTCCTCTTTTTGGAGATATCAGAGGTCTTTAAGACCCCTAATGTCACCTAGGGACCCCCAAAAAAGCTGATGAAGTAGAGATCTGCTTCATTAGCTTCTGAAGCTGGAGAGTGACACAAGAATGCAGAAGTGATTTAATATACATCACTCCCTGCATTCCGCCAATGGGGAGGATATCAGAGAGAGATCGTGTACTGATCTCCCTCTGATCCCCTGTCACCGACCCACCGCGCTGGTCCCGGGCTTGCACCGGGCACAGCGGAGCTCAGGACCAGTGGGGGGGGGGCGCACAGAACGGCACCTCAGACAAGCGATCCGCTGGCTCTATAGCCGGCGGATCGCTTATATGTAAACAGGCATGGTTGCCTGTTTACAAATTTTGACAGTTTCCCGCTCGAGCGCGCAGGACTAACAGGCCATCTTTAGACGGCCTGTCACAGTGCTGTGCTAGAACTCCTGTTTTGGAGGTGACAGGGTCAATAAAGAGAACCTGTCACCTCCAATTGCTATCACACAGGGGATTGTTTTCCCTGTGTGATAGCAATAAAGTTAAGTGAAATTTTGTTTATAAAAAATAATAAAAAAATAAATAAAAATTACAAAAATAATAAGAAATAATAATT